TGGGACTGAATAGCGCGGCGGCGGTGTTATCAGACGGCTTGTAGAAACACCTCAGATCAGCTTGGCGTGTTGCAGAAAATGGGCCATGCCCACACCGCATGAGATAACGCAAGATGCCCAAAGACCACATGTCAGTTTGATGACTGCAGCCTGCCTTCCACCATTTCAGGGAACAGAGAAGGTGCCCCGCATTTGTTTATCAAGCGTGTGCTGGGAGGGGCGCAACATGCGAGTCCAAAGTCCACCATCTTGAGCAATGCGGGGTGCTTGTGCCGCGGGCTCCACACGTGGGCCAGGTTTTGTGTAGCCTGATGTCGCGGTGGAGGAAATGTAGGCTGTGTAAATGGCACACGGCCCGGCGCATTTGCTGAAGAAGCAGGGCAGCCTTGCACTCAGTGATTCTCCCGAAAGAAAAGTCTCCCCCATGCAGGGCTTTCATACACAGGAACGGCACGTCCTGAAACTCGTGGATGCCGTAGTTGAGCAACACATTCTGGTGCGAACATGCCTGCAAGGCACGCGCTTTGTTGGTGTAGCACACAAGCGTTACCTGGAGAAAATGTGGAATCTGAACCTCCGCACGTCATCCACAACATCACGCAGCGTCTGCTTGCCAGAGTGCTCTCGCTCGAGTCGCCCCACTATTTCGGGGTGCAATTTGGTATCCAGTAAGCATCAAGCACTTCGGCTGCCACTTGAGCTCAGGGTTTAGGGCTGAGCATACATGGAAAGTAGACCTACATTCTGGACGAACATAGCTGAACAGCACACTGGAATCAAAGCCCGATGAGCCCATGCCACTCGTGTGATATTCCCAGCATCGGCTCACGACATCTGAATAGCTGCGGACAAAAGAAGCAGCCTCATTGTGAGGCTATTCCACTGTCTCCCAAATACTATGTCTTCTATGCTTTTGAGCCAAGAAGGCTGCAATCAAAGAATTGAGCATCGACATTCCACAGCTTCGTGCTGAAAAGCATGTGCGAGCCTTGAAGCTAAGGGTGGCCATAGACTGGCGTACTGGGTCGACTTGTGCCATAGAGGTGCAGGGGCATGAGCAGTGTAAGCCTTGAGATCCTTGAGTTGAAGAAGGGGGTTCCGGGTCTTCACAACCCACTTTCGCAGGACTTTAGATGTGAGAAGTAAGGTTTCAGGTGGAGGGTTTAGGGCTAAGGTTCAGGATCATTCAAAACTTCGGTCGGCTTCGGGAGTGAGCCCTATGCCGATCTCCCGCCTCTTCGAGGTGTCCACGACGTAGCCTCGAGTAGGCAGGGCTTGAAGGCTTCGAGCTTCGAATGCAGGGTCTGCAAGGTCTTGCATGGGTATTGAGTGTTCCACTTTACATGCAATGGGATATTCAAAGGTCCAACTCACATCCAAGTCAAGGAAGCAGAGTCGGTGAAAAGCAGATGCTTTCTCCGACGCTGAACGCAGACCAGCATGGCGCGGTGAACATTTCCGGAAGGGCCGGCCTCCCGTTTTGCCAATAAGGCTTCCGCACCAAGAAAGCCAGGCAGATCCCGTCTGAGATCCGTGCTTACACGCCAGCAGTAGCCTGGAAGGGGCGCATCCTTGGATCAAAGCTTAAAAGATCCAAGTGCACTTGCCACGCTCTGCAAGTGCGCTCCGAAGGTTCCTGAACCCACAAGGAGCTGGATCTCAGACCACGAGTCTAGGCTAGATACTAGGGTGCTAGGCAGTCTCAGGCCTAGGGACGAGGTTATGGAAGCCCCGAGCGTGCAGACTCCTGCAATCTCCCATCCCCAGCAGCCCTCACACTTTACGAAGACTTTCGATGCGCTCGTCAAACTTTGTCCTACATCCCCCTGCACACCAAGCCCTCCCATCAAGGACCCAAGGCCAACACTGTGGTGAAGCCAATCGCAAGGCCCAGCCCTTCCTGCGTCGAAAAGCCGTCTCTGGTGATCGTTTCTGAATCCACAAGCCCAGAGCCCAACACGAGACCACGGGCGCCCTAAGCCCACCACGTGGAAGAAAGCCCAAACAGCACAATCGGCAAACCCTGTCTCGGGCCTCGAACGCACACTCCTCTGCCGGATTCCTCGGGGGTATCGTGGGCTGAGACTCAGAGGC